CTCCTGCCAACATCCTTGGTGTTTTTTGGCATACAAAGCATGGACCCAGTTTCTGCATTCTTAGCCACAAGGTGTTTGTCTGGTGGATATATCTGTGTCCGTGGTGTCTCTTCTTATAAGCCCAGAAGTCATATGGTGTCTGGGCCCAATGAACCCCTATGTTATCATTTTAACTTGATTACAGCTACAAAGATACTGTGCTAAATAAAGTCTTATTCACAGTTACTGGGATCTTAGAATTTGAATATATCTTTTGGGGTAACCTAATGCAACCCATAATAAGGACCACAGTCTGAAAGTGAAAATTGCATGAGTGTATAAGATTGTTCACAGTGCTAAATGGCCCAACCTACTTTCTTTTTGGAAGGTGACTTGTCTAACCTGACAGGAATGATCTCAACCCAGAGACATAAAATGCTTGTTCTACAGATAGCCAAGGATTTAGAAATCAGCCTGATCATTCAGCTCCAATGCTAGATCATTCAGGAAGAGTGAATATTCTCTATGGTTCATCTTTGAAATAACTTTGTGATATGACAGAACACCCAGTGTGGGGTGAGAGAATCTGAGGTTTTTGAGTTCACCCACTCTGTGGCTTTACAACCACTCATGTAAACATGGAATATAAAATAATTTCTTCCAACTATAATTTCATAATGCCACTTAAATGAGAAAAATACATGGGAGACGGTTTTGTAAAGTACTACAGTTTAAAAAACAAACAAATGAAAATATCCTTTGTCTTGGTCACCTGGGCAAGAATCCATGGTTATTCTGTTTAAAATATTGATTCAGGTGCTAGAGGTATATCTCAGTCAGTATGGTGTATGCCCTGCAAGTATGAGAACCTGAGCAAAATGCCAGCATGAAAGCTCATGCATAAAATCCCAATACTTGGGAGGTGGTGAAAGAAGGGTTATTTGGACCCAGTCTAGTATGATGAGCTCCAGGCCAATGAGAAGGCCTATCTCAAAAGAAGAAGGCAGTGTTCCTAAGTATGATGCCCAAGGTTGTCCTCTGACATTCACAAACATGCATTTATACACACCAGTGCACACAAATATGCATACAAAATAATAATAAAATACCGATCTGATTCCTCATCTCCAGAGAGCTAAAGTTAGGAAGAGCACAGCCTGTCTTTGTGGCTCTAGAGCCCAAGGTAATCAAACTCTTTCCCCGAAGCTGTATTGAAGCAACCCATGGGATTGGATGGAGGAAATTTGTATCTGAGTGCCTACTCAGAGCCTAATCCTTCAACCATGCATGTTACTAAGTCCACAGGCATAAAAGCCAATGATAAAAGGAAATTTGGGGAGGAAAATCTGTCTTCTTATGTCCTCCCTGTTTCAAAGCCTTGGAGAGGAATGTTCAGCTCTCAGCTCACTGTGATGAAATTAGCAGGCTATCGTCATTCAAGACAGAAGCCAGAAAGAGCTGGAGTCTGATACTGAATGCCACTGAAGAGAATATATTTTATACAACACAAAAGGCCCCGACATAAATTAGAAGAAATATTGGGAGCCTTCAAAAAGGTAGGTCAAACTTTTTCCTCAAGCAGATAATTACAGGCTGGGGGTGAGTAAATCTTATTAGCCTCTTTCCACCTCGTCTCTTCTCATAAAACACTAGCAAAAAGAAAGCCACTCACCATTCAGGGTGGACAGCTTGCCTGAGAGAAGACTGGCTTGTCTCTGTCAATAGCATCACCCATGGGTGGCTTGTTCAAGCTGCTCTCACTGCCCCCACCTACCCACCAGGATGTAGCTTAAGCCAGTCAACCAAATATGGAGTTCCACACTACACTGGCCAATACTCCATGATGTCCCCCAATCTGAAGAACTATCTATTCAGGTGGCAATTTTACAGTCAAATTTCTCTGTCCATGATTGAGGACTTAAAATTAATGAAGTTGTTAACATTTCTTAAAATGTCTTTCCTGGCAGATGGAAGATGTGGATTTATCACCCATGAGCCTGCTGGCCTTTTTGATGCATAGACATGTAGGCTGAGGCCCCACAAAACACCTGTAAGAGATAGGAGTCCTCCCTAATTCTACCACTAGCTTTCTCTATGACAGGTCTCAGGGAGACTCCTCATTGTCACTCACTGGCAATGGGATGAGCTGCCTACAGAATTACTAATCTGGCCTGTGAACTCTGTGAGCCCAGGACCCCTCTAACTGATTTTTTAGTTTGCCTCAGCTCCAGCATCTAGCATGGGGCTGGCCACACAGATGTGGACATGGAAATGCTGGTGCTGGTGGTGATTGTGCAGTCTCTATGAGTCCCACAGAATTAAATATGGCAAAAAGAAAGGATTGGAAAGCATTAGTACATTTCATCAAGGAGCTGTCAACCCTTCTGTTATGAACCAACACTAATGATGGTGCTGACGTTGACACCTTGGTCCTTCATTTGGATACTAACTGACCAATGGTTTGAGTCTGCTCAACAAAGAAGAGAAATCATGAGTTTGTAGACCATGGTTTGGATGGTATCTTAAGGAACATCTTGATCTATTTTTTGCCTGAGTTATCCCAGCATTCCAATTTACTGGTAAGGAATGTGGGGCTCAGAGAGAGGAAGTGGGTTTACCAACAGGTGATAGATAATTGGGTCCTCAAGAACTCCCATTGTTTTCTCCCTTTGATTTGCAACCTCTGTCAATGGCCTCAATAGGTAACTGATAGTTGCTATCTATTACACACAGGGAAAGAGAACATGAGGGATCAGGAAGGTCGAGTCGGGGGAAGGACAGAGGAGAGCAAGGAAAGAGATGCCTTAATAGAGGGAGCCATTATGGGCTTTAGGTGAAATCTAGCACTAGGCAAATCTCCCGGAAACTACAAGGTAAACCCCAGCTAAGAGTCTAAGTGATAGTGGAAAGATTACCTTAAATGTCCTTCCCCTATAATGAGATTGATAGCTACCTTAAATGCCATCCTAGAGCCTTCATCCAGTATCTGATGGAAGCAGAAGCAGAAATCCACAGCTAAACACTGAGCAGAGCTCCTGGAATCCAGTTGTAGAGAGGGAGGAGTGATAAGCAAAGGGGTCAAGACTATGCAGGGGGAACCCACAGAAACAGGTAACCTGAGCAAGTAGGAGCTCATGGACCTCAGACCAACAGCTAGAGAACCAGCATAGGGTGAACCAGGTCCCCTGAACATGGGTGTAAGTTGGGGAGCTTGAGCAGTATATGGGGTCTCTGGTAGTGGAACCAGTGTTTACCCTTAGTGCACGAATAAGCTTTGGGAGCCCATTCTCTATGGAGGAATACTCTCTCAGCCTAAATACACAGGGGAGGGCCTAGACCCTGTCCCAAACAATATGACAGACTTTGATTATCCCCCAAGGGAGGTCTCACCCACCCTGAGAACTGGATGGGGGGATGGAGGGATGTGAAATTGAATGAGAGGAAGACAGGAGGAAGACGGACCTGGGATTGGTATGTAAAATAAGATGGTTTTTAATTTAAATAAAAATGAATTTAAAAATGTTGTCCTACAGAGAAGGTGAATGCCTCTGAGCAAGATCTCCAAGTGTTATCTGAAGACCAGTTATACTACATATCTGGTGACAAAACATCAACCACACAAAAGACCAGCTTTCAATTATTTATAGATACTTGGTCTCATCATAGGATGGCATTGGTGTGTCTGCTTTAATTAAAATCAATAAAGAACTCTAATGTGAAACCTTCCAAAGAACCACCAAGCCACCCCTCCTCAGAGATACTTAGGAGTGGCAAGCAACATCTCAGCTCAGAGTAGAATCCTAAACTGCCCAAGGGGGTTATATGCATTTCTTTCTTTCAATTTGAAATGAAAGGTGCCATTAATACAGGCCAAGACTAACTGTGTAACAGATGAGGGGTTGCAGACTTCTGACTGAACCTTTTTTTACAGTGAGTGGAAGATCTCTGTTAGGTGTACTTTAAATAGATTTGGCCCAAGGGCAGAGACTAAGAAGCAGGAATAGGTAAATATGCCCAGAAGGGCATCTAGAACTCAGTGCTGTACTGGGCTCATAAATACTTAATTGAATTAGGTCTGATGAGAGAATTCTGTATCGGGAGCCCTTCTGCATTCATTCATCATACATAAGTCTTTAGCAGTGTCTTCCAGAGAAGAAGTAAAATGGGGGTACAAACACGGCATATTATCTGTCTTTGAGGGGCTTACACCAAAAGACCTGAAGAAATGAAGGTGTTCCTTGGAAAAGTCCCACCTCTCCTCTACCACTAATGTCCCAAAGGCAGTGGCCCTGTTACTGTGAGCTTTTAGGCTGAGCACTGAGAATGAGTCAACACAATTTCCTGAGAGCTCATAGGACAGCAGCTCACAGGTGGAGTTGGTGGTCTCTTGCAGGGAACAGGACTATAAGCAAAGAATACGGGCATTGTGGCTAGTGGCCCCACGCTATGTGATACTGTTAAGATTAATTTCTGCATTCGCACAAACTGGAATTGGACCAGTTCTCTTGACCTCTTGAGGCAGTTGCACAATCAAATGAGCAGACATAATGTCAAACAATTTGTTTGAGAACAGAAGTTAGCCAAATATAATGGAACCACTGAAGGGGCCCTGGAAGACCTGTGTCTTCCATAATAACAATCCACTATTAGGAGATCATGGTCTATAGAGACACTAAAGGCAAGAACTTTAAATCCAGAAAGCTATAATCAAATACTAATAAGTGTGACATTGAAGGAACGGTGGAATGATACCAGAATTCTATATACCAGGAAGGCTCAGAGGATGGACTATGTGAGGCAGAAAGCCCTTGGCTTCCCCCCAGGACTCACAGTGCAACATAAACATCTGAGCTGGAATGGACGAGTGGTGTTCTTGAGCAACCTTACTCAGTACAGTAATATGTGTCTTGTTATAGGGGACTGAGGGACTCCTGGATCACTGGTGATCACACATGGAAACTCAGAGCTTCCTTAATTAAATGGCAGTGATGAGGTGTCACAGATGTCAAAAATACACTTACCATATCGGCTGCGGTGGGACAGGAAAGGGAAAGAGTCTTTCATTGTCCAGGTCAGATTCCATACAAAGTTATCAGGAGGAGAAGGCATTCCTGAGGGCGACTCCAAGGGACTAAGACCTGGACACAACAATAAAGGAGAGAACACTGAATCTTGTGCTTAGGATGGGTCTTCTAGTTGTCATTCAATATCAGTCACAAAGGAAGTCCATAATAGGCTTTCATGATACTCTGTAGACAGTTAAACAAAAGAGGAGAGAGGCACAGATAACCTGAGTTGACCACATGGCTGTGGTATACATTTTCTATCAAGGGAGCTGTGTCTGAGAAGTCTGAATACTGTGAGCAAGTCCCGCCCAGGCTCTCTGGAAGATGAACTAGAAACCAGGCAGCTTAATGGCTCAGTCTAATAGCTCTATCCAAAGTCTATTCTGCTGGTAAGAATTTGTGCAACTTTACAGAGAACTTTAATTCATCTCATTCAAGTGATGCCTCTACCCCACATCCAGGCTTGTAACTTCATCTGATGTTGTTTGCTTGGGTTATTGCCTTATCAATGAGAGGGCTGAAATTGCACTCAGAAGTTATGGGTACTTGACAATTAGGTTATTTTCAGGGAGGGGGAAAAAAAGCTGTGTTATGGGTTTCTCATATCCAAAAGGCCAGGGAGTCTCCAAGGATCGATGTTTCTGATTTGCATGAGCAAAAAAAAAAAAAAAAAGGTTGAGAGAAAAGAATAAAGTGACATTAGCTCTTTATTTAACAGAAGTGCAAGTGGGTCTTGTGGTGGAAAGTCATTACAATCTATCTACAAAGCAAATGAGCACACCCTACATGCTCATACATCGTTCTTCCCTGAAAATTCCCAAATCCATCACTACTTGCTAATGTTTCATGGTGGGCAAAGTTCTCCTCTGTTAAAAAAAAAAAAGGAAGGGTTTGAGAATTGGCTGTTTAGAGGATAGATGTGTGGTGAGGCTGTGGTGGTGAGGGGTGGGGAAGAAGGGAGCACGAACATCTGTAGTTTCCATGGTGCAAAACCCTGCTTCATCCTTTAGTCCTGTTGTAAGACAGTTACAGCTTTTTGAGCACTTCTTTCCTCTCCATTTTTTTAGGCAAAACTGAGAGTGAAAGGGGCAAGTGAGGGAATCCAAACCAGCGCAGACCAGGCTCTGCCCTGAGCTAGCTGACCTGCCACTCCAGCCCTTAATGGTAAAGCACCTGCAGTGCCTTGTGAAAGGGAGCAGTCAGCCACAGGAGGGGTAACCAAAGCCCTTCTCCAGCAGGTGCCTTGCAGTTTAAGCACCTTCTCCAGCAGCAGCAACTCAGGCCTACAGACTGTCTCCAAAACAAGGCAACATGAATACAAACTCAGGTTGGGAAGATTGCTCAATCAGCAGAGTGCTAGCCATGGGTTTGAATACAATGTCTCTCCTCTTGCCGCCTTTCAGAATTGATCCCATGTCACTCACTTTGAAAATCCCTGGCCTGGATGCCCATAGCTGTCTTCTGCTGCTGGTATCATCCATCCTTTCTCTAGGCACTCGGGTAAAGCAGACAACAGAGTCACATACTCCGCCAGCTCTTAACTGGTACCCTCTAAGAAAAACCAATCCCTGTCCTTCTCCCACAGAGCTGAAATAGAAGCATTGACTCTTGAGTGTCCAGGGAAGAGACCTTTACTTTGCTCTCACATATGGTCTATAGAAATTAGAAGCGAACTTGAGCTCTCTTCCTATGAAATGGCTCAGAGAAGTGATTGTAAGGGCACAGAAGGTACACAAGCAAGCTCTAGGGAGACCCTGTCTCATCCTGTGCTCTTTAGAGAGACAGTAAGACTTAGACAAGAGAACTCAGGCCATGTAAGTTCTCTTAGGGCTAGACAGTTTAAAACTCAATATTATGATTGAACTAATAACACACTCTTAATGCCAGCACTTGGGACGCTGAGGCAGGAAGATTATGAACTTGGAGCCAGGATAGGTGGCATAGCAAGACTGTCTCTGAAACAAAAGTATTAATAAATCAAGTGGTGGAGATAGCTCATTCAATAAAGTACTTGCTAGGCAAGCATAAAGGCCTGAGTTCACATAAAAAAAAAAAAAAGCAGCCAAATATGTTAGCATATGCTTGTTTTTCTTTTAGTTTGGTTGGAGTTTTGTTTCCTTTTGAGACAGGGTTTCAATGTGCAGCCCTGGCTAAACTGGAACTTGCCACATAGACCAGGATAACCTTGTACTTATAGAAATCTATCTGCCTCTACCTCCTGGATGCTGGGATTTAAGGCATAAGCTACCACACCCAACCAGTGGCACATGCTTATAGTCCTGAGACCAGTATGACAGAGGCAGGTATCAGCAGGTGCTTCACCTGCTCAGCCAGTCACAGACTAGTGAGAGATACTATTGTAGTGAGAGAAACAAAGTGAACAGCTACTGAGGAAAGCTGAGTTGTCCTCTGACTTCACATCCATCTACAACTCTTACACATGTGCCCATACACTCACACCTATGCTCAGAGGAGCATAGACGCACACACGCACACACATACATGCGCACACACATACAAAAATTGAATTAAAGATAATGACATGAATTAAACAGATGTGGCCACCATACTACACTGAATATTTTAAATACATGATTTCATTTACTTCTTTCAATAATCTGTGATTTGGTATCATTGAAGCTGAGGAAACTGATGCTAAACGAGATGAGATACCTTTACTGAAGACAGAGACAGTGGGCAGGGCATCAGAGTCAGCAGACCAGGTTGACCTGACCTGATGCTAATGCCCAAACTTTACCACCACTCCACAGGGGTCCCCTACAAAAGTAGACAGCAGCTCTCTACAATACCTTCCATGGCCCCATAGGTAATGTTCAAGGTCAGGGGTTACTACCAAGCATAGCCACAGTGTGAAGGGTCCAGAAGAGGATGATAACCAAGCCTTTGCAGTGAATGAATGGACACAAATACGGGCAATCTGTACTAAGCCATCAGCTTAGCTCAAATTTGAAGTAATCCAGAAGCAACACTAAGACTAAAACTCAGCAATGTTTGCCAATGATGTCATTTTTCATAACCCTTCTGTTTGGGAATGGTATTTACTTCTTCCTGGATGAGAAGGATCAAGTGGATTGGAATAGACTTCAGGAGGCATTTATGACTCTCTGAGTAGGTGCAGAACAGATGAATTTTCACATGGAAGAGGTCCAGGTAATATATTCAGGTTTAAAAAATGTATATGAAAGCATTGAAAAGGGAAGTCTCTGGAGGCTGAGTCATGGCCCAACAAGGAGTCATAGAGATCACTGTAGCTTGTCTCTTCAGATAGCACTTTACTCATTGTTAGTCCACCAGGAATGCCAACAAATTGTTCTGCATCCTCAGAGTTGGGCAATGGAGAGAAAGCAGCATGTTTTATACAGCTTCTATAGGAACTCCTATACCTCTGGGCTCATAGGAGCTTCGAGAAGGTCCCTAGTGGAGGTGAGCATAGTGATTAGCCAGGGGAAGCTGGTGAAATAGCTAATGAGAGAAGAGGCAAAGGGGCAGTCCCCACCCACCCCATGCCCGAGAATGTGAATACTAAGGAGAACACAGCCTACACAAATGAAGTTGTTTGCCGGAATTGAAGACACTGGGACAGGAGAAAGTGCTAACTATAGTTCACAGAAGGTGCATCATTTGGGAATACACAAACTGAAGAACCCTGATTGAACAGTGTGGGGAAAAGGGGCTGCAGGCTTCCTTCAGTTACCACTCTTTCAGCTTCACTCCTGGTGGAAGAGAGCTCTTAAGCATAATGAAAAACTATGCCATGGGAAGCAAGCCATTTAATTAAGAGAAAGGAGGGGATGTTAATCCCAAAAATGCAAGGGGGAAAGACCACCAGCCCAAATCATCATGGCCAAATTAATTAAAACAAGCAATCAATTAAAGCAAGCTTCTTAAAATTCGTTGACTCCCCCTAAAGGCAAGGTTCAATAGGTCAACATTGGACATGGACAAGATAAGGGTTTTTGTCCCTTGGTTTTTCAACACAGGATTACTCTGTGTAGCTTTGGAGCCTGTCCTGGCACTCACTCTGTAGACCAGGCTGGCCTCAAACTCACAGAGATCCACCTACCTTTGCCTCCCAAGTGTTGGGATTAAAGACATGCACCACCCCCACCCAGCAAAGATAAGGTTTGTTTTTTGTTTTTTTGTTTTTATAGCTCAGGAGTAGGGGTTTTTCAAATGGAAAATTTGACAGGCAAATTGGGGTAGGGGAATTAAAGGAGCAGCATAACAAGGTAGTCATAACCTTTGAAACAAAGGCAGGGTTGCTGTTTCTTGGAACAGGTAGTATGTAGTTAAGGTTACAGGTAGGGTTTAATCATAAACAGGAACAAATCTAGTTTGTCTAGTTGGAAATATTCGAATTAAGCTACTGGCTAAAAAAGGAAGAGTCTTGGACTCCAGGGAATGAAGAATGGATAAAGGAAAGAGAGAGGAGGGTGAATAGGAAATGAGGTTCCAGGTGTCCAGGTAAGCCACTGATGGCCTAAGGAGGTGAATGGAAAGAAACACACCTGGCCTGAGGGATTATTGATTGATACTTTAAAGAATTTTTCCCTCTCTAATGATTTTCTGAACCCTCTCTAGGCTCTGTAGGAAACTGAGATGGAGTAAAGACCCTAAGCTCTTGACATTTCTCCCCCCCCCCCTCTCTCTCTCTCTCTCCACCCCCATGTTGTGCTCAGCTTAGATTCAGGGTCCATCTCCATCTCTTACTATATTAGTGAGTTTGCCTCTTGCTCCTTCACAGCTGTTTTGAAGCAGCTTCATGTGGTACCGAGGAAGAAAAGAGGAATACACATTATGCTGATAAGTCTCACTTTAAATGCACCACCAGGAATGCCCAGGACGGCTTAGAAACCCCACTGTATTCCCTGACCAACCCACATCACTCTAGCATAGCTATTTCCAACTTTAGCTTCGCAGAGCCCTTTTCCCTCTCTCTTCAGCTAACAGCCTTGTTTTGTAGCTCACTAGGAAGCAGAAGTCTAGGTACTCATGACCAGGAATCATGACTGTATTGCCATCACTCCTATTTGAAGGTCCACTATTTATCCTCTTCAGAAGTATCAGCCCCATCTTGGAGGTGCTAACCTTATCCCTGAGAAGTCTGCTGTTGCAATGGATGCCCCTGGCTCCTGCTTCAGTGATTTACCTCTTTACAGAATACTAAGCTGAACCATCTTTAGGAAACAAAACAACTCCCTTCAGCCACTGACATCAGCACTCTACAACTAAATCTCTTGAGAAGTTTGTCTCTGCTTTCTTCCTTCCACCTTTCCTAAAACACAGTAAAAAGCAAGATTGCTTCTCCATATCAAGGTCATGGCCAACCCCAGTCTTGAACTTACAGACCATCTGCAGTGTTTGACCCAACGGACACCTCCCTACTTCTGGAACTTCTCACATCATGGTTAGCACATAGTCCTTGGATGCTTCCCACGCTGGTAGTAGGTCCCACTCATTCTTCTTTGCCAGATGTTCCAGACCGAACAGGAAGAAGTCTCCAGGTCTTGTGAGCCTTTGACTGGGACATTTTGTAGCTAAACACTGTACTGTGTAACAGTGAGTGGTTCTAGCCAACTGACAATGATCAATGACAAAGAAGTTCAAGGTATCCAGGACCTAATTGAGGAGTCTTTGCTGACCAATAAAGAGCCCAATTTTAAAGAAATTCATAGTGATCTAGATCCACACATTCATTCATATGTACATTAGCATTTGCACCTTCAAACTCTCAGATTCTTTTTTCTTTTTAGAGAACCACTCGGTGAATTTCTCTTTGCCTAGTCTGTAAATAAGCTCACCTTTAAAGAAAAAAGTCTATGGAATATCTCCAGGCCCAATCACTCACCTCAAAGTAGAATAGATTCACTCATCCACGTCAGATCTCCATTTTCTTGCCAGTTCATTTTCTTACCTTACAAACATTTCAGACACAACGTGGGCTAACCCAAACTCTTCATACCTTTTACCTAAACCTGACTTCTGAAGTTAATACTAATGCTCACTCAGTTGCTTAGGGCAAAAGCCGAGAGCAGTCTCACATCTCCTGTCAATCTATCCACAAAGCATGATGACTCTCTCTCCTGGAATTGGACGCTTTCTCATCTTTCTCCCCATCACCTCTCAGCCTGACCACTGCTGTCTGTGGAAACCCAGCTGGTTTCCCTACAATCTGTCCTTCACACATCAGTTAGATTGACAATTCACCCCTGGAAGTTTCTTTCTATAGCCTAGCTTCAAAGGACTCCATATGATCTGACCCCTACTTCATGTTCTGATTTCATTCCCAACCATTTTCCATTCCCCACGAGCTAGGTCTTAGAGGAGCCCTTGCTGTTCTTCAAACTCATCAAATGCACTCTCATTCCAGGGCTCTGCATGGGTCATTATCTCACCTCATCTCAGAAATATGTGGCCATCCTTCCCTTTTCGATGTCTATCCATGTATCTCCTTAGGCACAACACTCATCGTCAAGCACCTCCCCCTTCTCACTCTGTCTTCTATTGTTTCTTCTATACATATGTCATATATATTGACTCACTTATTGTCTACTACTAGAACTGGTCACTACTGTGACCAGACTTGGAGCAGAGCAGGAACTCAACAAATACTCATCAAATGGATGAGTGAAAGGCCCTTGAGAATATTACTAACTTTGAAACTATTAGCTATTTAACTTCAGGCTTAGGACATACTTGGAGGAACTTCAATTTTCTGTAAAGGATGATAAGAATAAGAATAAAACATGCTCTAAAATCTCCTAAGGTTTTGTAAAGGCCAAATGAGACAACATGAGAGTATGGTGTACTATTTAATTACCAGCCATGCCATCCTGTGTGTGAGTACGTGAGAGTGTATGTGCATGCCCATGTGTGCTCCATCACATGTACCTGTGGGTCTGGAAGCCAAAGATATTCAGGTATCTTCTGTTGTTCTCCACCTTATTATTTGAGACAGGGGTCTCTTCATTGAACCTTAAGTTCACCAATTTGCTGGGCTATTTAGCTAGCAAGACCATAGGATCTGTCTGTCTCTGTGCCCACAAAGCTGGCATTACAGGAATATACCATCTCACACACCTGACTTTCATGTGTGTTCAAACATGTATCTGAACTCAGGTTCCCTTGTTCCAATTGAACCATCTCTCTAGTCCCTCCCCCATGTCTTGATACCTTATGCTTATATCTCCATTGTAGAAACCAAGATGAATGGGAATCCTGGTCCCTTTTCAATACCAAGGAGATCTTGTATTGATAAATGTGATGTCTAAACATTAAAGGGCTTACCCAGAGCACTCTTCTGTTACTCACTAGCTAACTGTTGACTTGGCCAATTGTCAACAGCCTTGAATATCCAAATTTCAGCCAGTAGGTTATATCTGTATTTCAGATCTTCATTTTTGTATGTCTTGCAGGGTGTCCATTAATCTGAGCCAATTTATATAATATAGTGGATTTATCATATTTGTGTCAATAGAAGAAATAACAAGCTATACACAGTGCCAGTTATTTTCGTGACTGCCTTAGGTTCACTCTGAACCATGTTTTACAAACCTCCATCAATAAAATGTAACAAGTGCCTCTATTTGAAACACTCCTTGGAGTTCTCCTGCCATCCTCGTACACATTTTACTTATTTATTTTCCTTCCAACAACAAAACAATCACTGACAGCTTGCTGCTTATTCCCCTTCATTTGAAAACACACTTAATAATGCATTATTTTACAATGATTTTGTGTCACACCAGGCAAAGCATAATGTGGCCAAATAAATAGCCATCCAGATGCCAAACAGT